TTAAATGTGAGACAAATGAATAACTATAATTTTTAAAATGAACTGAAATTGTAATAAAATGGTAATGATAGCAAGGTAAATTATACACCGTGAAAAGATGRAAAAACTTACGTTTCGGACGCTAGTCCTTCTTCTAGTTCTCTTTTATTCCAACCAAKGACTAGCRTCCGAAACGTCAGTAAGTTTTTTCATCTTTTCACGGTGTATAAYTTACCWTGTTATCATTACTGTTTTATTAGAAACACYGACACAGCTCACACTAGTTTTTAGCTAGTTATACAGTTATYGTAGAATGATAAGTTATACACCGTAGTGAAAATAGTAACTGACGTTTCGGACGTTAGTCCTTCATCGGAGTCAATCAATAGACTAGTTATATCTTCTTGGTAATAAAATATATTGTTTTGAAATAAATTTAATTTGTGTTGWGTGTAATCCGTAACTACTAAAATCCTCCTGAATTTGAGTTTGTTTGTCCAAACCTATTTTATATCCATTGGGAAAACTACCCCTTTTTCATTGGTCACTCAAGCAAAGTTAGGATTGACGAATTGGATAATGGAATGAAGGCACAGATTTGGTAGCCATTGCATCTATCAAGTGCTACCTTCCTAAAACAAACATTTATTTAGTTACTGAATTTTATTACTTACCATCATATGTTCAGCCAACCATCCTTCATCTCTAGCAATATTACCAGCAATCCTYAATGCAAAACACTTCTTCCCAAGCAGAGAGTTCCCTCCATAACCACTACCAAATGACTTGATCTCTCTGGTCTTAGGGAAGTGCAGAATCAAGGTTCTCTCTGGATCACAAGGCCAGTATGGAACAGTTGGTTGCTTCTTGCCGTCATTAGGGAATCCAACCGTATGGACACATTTCACAAAGTCTCCATCACCAAGCACTTTCATGACTTTAGCTCCCATTCGTGTCATAATACGCATACAGCATACTACGTAGGGAGAGTCGGTGATCTGTACACCAATTTTGGATACAGGAGAGCCTACAGGTCCCATACTGTAAGCCATTACATACATAGTACGGCCTAGAAAAGGGAACATTTAATAAAKTAAGTTTCTTTTTCCTGAAACTTCTGTATTATAGTTCCAAACTTTTTTGAAACAGTGTTAAAAATGAATAGAGGGGAAGTTATAAACTATTTCTACTTCTCAAACYGTTATCTGGCATTTAAGTATTTTGTAAACAATTTACAGTCAAAACTGCTCAAGCTTAGCCCTCTAGATTCATTAATGATTTCATTATTCAAATCTTGAAATTTATTATTCTTTTCAAAAATACTAAGACAAGATTYGGAATAATAAGTGATTCAAAACTTGAATTCTGATTGGTTTATTTCATACAAGGAACACACAATAATCCAGTGAGAGTTCGAGTTTTAAATTGGAAATTATTTCAAATCCTGAGTCTTGGTATTCTCAGAAAGAATAAAWAATTTCGATATTTGAATAATAAAAGCATTAAATGGAACCTAGGGGGTAAGCTTGAGCTGTTTTGACTGTAAMTACATCACAACCTCTACATTATCCCAAAATCCAAAATTGAAAAGATAAATTTTCATTMTTAGAATAAAAAGTAAAGCTAAAAAAGTGAAGAAAAAAAACAATTAAGCAAATACAGGCGCAAAATTGGTTAAATTATAAAAATATTTCATTTTGGGGGGAAAAGCTATTAGAACCAAAACTTAAAAGCATCAGAAATAAAGGTCAATATTTTAAATTTTCCTTAAAGCAATATAAATGACAACGAAAAGGTTTATCGAAAGGAATCCTCTACGTGTGTGGTGCCACGAATCATATGACACGCACCACGACCCCAACACGCCTACTTAATGCTCCAATCACAAGCAATGAAAATCCCGGCTTGGACAATACAAACAAACTCAAACATYTTACGGCTCTTTTTCTCGCACAGTTTTCGAAATGTTTTGCCAAGAATAAGCCTATATTGTATGCGGCTTTTTAATGTTCTTACGTACCGACCATGGCGCCTGGGAATCGCGTTTCAAGTTCTTTCTCAGCGTCGTCTATCGACATCCAGCGACCTAGAGCGCCTTGTATTCCTTCTTTGACATGAGGTACTGCATCGTAACGATTCTCCGTGCAGATAAATGTCTTGGATTCAACACGAGCTACATCTTTGGGATCAGTTCTTACGGCGTAGCTGGAGAAGAAAGACACAAAGCCGAACCCATGTTAATAAGAAAATTCTGTTTATGCTAGATCATGAGCTTATTTTAAGAGAGGAAATAAGGTTATAATTAATTTTAGGCCAAGAGTTTTGATTCTTAAAAAGCAATGTAATATGGAATCACAAAAATACTTAATTCAAAAACTGATTTCTGTCTAGAAAAATATAAGTATTTCAAGAGAAAGATTATTTACAAAGGGTTTGATAAAGATAAAGAAAGCTAATGTTTTTTCCTGGGATCGAAAATAGGTCCAAATCAATAATGGCAATATATCCACAACAGCGATTAGAGTGATAGCAGGGAAACACAAAATGCTTACCAGTTATCATGCTTGGTAAGTGGAACACAAGCCCCTTCTTTTATCAGCTTATCTATCAGTTCTTGATTTTCCTCGTTGGAGCCATCGCAAATATGAATGTTCTGTGGCTTGAAGATCTCGGCATAGCCAGAAACGAACTCCTGAACTTTGCTTGACAGAGAATTCAGATCACCTTTTTCGAATGGAGGCAGAGAAGACATGGTTCGAAGTATTAAACGATAACGAATTGGCAACGATCTGGACGACGAAGACCTCGGGAGCCTATAAAACATGAAGAAGATGTCAGAATACCTTTGTTATATGTTGCAAACGGCCTCCAAGATTGGGCAATGTGACATTATTATAATGCTTAACATAATGAATATGATGAACTACTTTTCAAAGGGATYGATCTGTTTGACTTCAACGATTCCACGATCACCATCTTACCTACCTAGTAATCAGAKAGACTAATGACATTACTACTGAGAGGAGAAAATATAAATACTAAACTATAAAGGATTCGAGAATCGTGACGCCTCACGTCTCCGTTGSCTGCATTCGTAGGTAGTGACGAAATGACTTCCACTGGAACACAGTCCAAAGGTCGTTAACTGGGGCCTGATTGGTCCAGATACAACACGTGACCGTGTCTTAACACCATGGTCGTGTTTCGTGGCACGAATATATCAAACTTCAAATTATTTCTATGTAAACAGCTCAAAGAAAATAATTATGACAATTGCACGTACTTAATACTGACGTAAACAAGTTTTTGTGTCAAACAAAGGTTCCTAGGGGTATTTTTGGCTTGTTTTGAAGAATTTCCCTCTCCTCCCCCACCCCTCCCCCAAAAGAAACTACTCACTCACTAAAGTATAAACAAAATGAAATTAAAATAACGAAGAATAAATAAGAAATAATAATAAAATAAATTTGTAGCTCAAGTTATATATAATCAAAATTATTCTTGGGAACCGAAAACCGTTTTTTTGGCAGTTTGCAGACTTGAATATTTTTTTACCAAACATGAAGTGCAAAATTAAGTCAACTGAAAAAACATTATTAAAATTTAAGGTCAGGGCACTTGGTACAAACAAACTTACTTTATTCTCTAGTAGAATAATAAGATAGCAAATATTCCRAGGGAAGGCTTTTATGCAGGTTATATTAGTATTCATTTTAGTAGAAGATGACTAGATTCATATCAGATTTGATATCTGGTTCGTGAAGACCTGTCATGGGCCATGTCTCGCTGGTATTTTCCCAACCGACAAACAACTACACAATGCATTTTCATGAATTAGGCGATCGTCGTTCCTCGCCACTCCTCGTTTTAAATCAAGTTCAAAGAAGTGTGGAGGAGTACGTTTTTCTGGCCTGTAGTGTAAAATTGGAGGCATAAAAAGGTACAAAAAGTGTCACGGGTTGAAGTTATGTCTGGGTTCGACGATAAATAAATTTTCCTTCGCGATGGTAAATGATGAAAATGTTGAAAAAAAAAACCGCATGAAAAAATTAATATTTTCTTAAGAGCTGAAGGCATTTCCCTTCATTTTCGTTTCATGCTTTTCTCTGAGAGTTTCCTTTAGCTTGAAATAATATGATTTATGGAAAAACTGACTTACGTGACCTAAAAGAAACTGAACCAGACAAATGTCAAATATCAATATAAACTCGACTAAAAGAAGTTCAGATCCATGAAGACATATCGAAAATTCATAACTTTTACCTGCAGTTCAAGTTCTAGGGAGACTAGAATGGAGATCTATGCAAAAACAGCAGCTTGTTTAGCGTCTTATTCTTTCGACAGCTTCCGTGCGTTATCACTGCAACATGCAAACCAGCACGCCTGCTTCACACCCTCTCCCTAGTCTACGCGCACGCACCAGTCAATACATCATTGTATATAAATAAACCAACCATCTGTCACTTCCATATCCGGTCATACGTTGCCTTGGGGTGCGACCAGACTGACCATAATCACGCCAAATATCAAACAAAATGTCTATCTTCGTAAACTTACCTATTCCAAACCTTTTATTCAAGATAGAACATCTTTGTTGCCGAAGAATGGGAAATTTGTCCAAGATTATTATAGTATTTCAGGTTAGGGATTAGTACGTGATTGGRTGAATCCTTGACATCGACTCATCTTGAGTATCTAGTTTCACCTATGTTCTTTACTAATACTTATAGTACTTTTACTAGTACTTTTCTAAWACTTATATTTATTTACCGAAGAATCACTCATTAAGTTCTACAAAAAGCCGCGATACTTAAAATTTAATTATTTCGCATAATTTATCATCCCTGGGGAATTGGAGGAACAAAAAATATATTTTGACAAGGCTTAGAAAAAATTCATAAATCAATAAAAAGATTAAAACCAGCGCCAGTAAACACGACGAACGACGTAAACGAATGAACAAGCTTTAATAATGAAACGTAGTCGCAAGATGGCCGACCAATAACAACAGTAATGAACAGGCGTCACTGGCGCGGGCGCGCGCGCATGACAGGCACAAATGTCCGCGGGCACAACGGGCTCGCTGGCGCAGGATGTTATCTCGTTTGATAAAAAGTGTTAAGGCCAGGTTTAATGCAATACTTAAGGAGTGTTTTTATGGTATGCATATGTGTACTCAACAGTACGGGATGCCACAGGAAGCCCAATTTCGAAAAAAAAGAGTTAGGCAATCAGAAAATTATATTTTTTATTCTATTTTTGTGTTAGATGTCCAAAATTTCCCTGCTAGTAGAGTCTCCTTCGTTGGCAATTCTTACTCTGTTAGAAGGGAAGTCCAAAATGTTGATATATATCATAATATTCAGAAAGGTCGCCGAAACGGGCAGAGAGAACATAGCCGGATGAAAAATAATATTGTCAAATTATCTTGTATTATGTATTGCTTGATTTTCCCGGTTCTCGAAGTAAACAAATAAAATAAAAGGACGGTTTTTYGGATTTCAGAATTTGATTGCTATCTTGGGCTCCCTGTGGCATAGCAAGCTTTTAAAAGCGGGTGACGTCAATCGTATGGAAAAACGACTTCTGGTTACAAAGTGAAATGCATTATTTGATTCATGACAGGATTTGTTTTCCGAAATTTTGATTGTTTCAGGTGGAGATTAAATCATTTAGAACATTTCCCCCCACATTTTTTAGYGCTTTTTGCGAGMAGTTGGAACCGGAAATACGTCACAACTTAAAAACTCTTAAAATCCATTTGGGTTGCCTTTGGATGGCATTTGGCGCGAGACTTCAAGAAGGAAAGTAAAGAGTATAAAAGCTGGAAAATGAAAACTTTTACGCATCAGAATTGAAATACTGGACCGTCTATCCTCCTACTTGAACATGTGGAGCTTGTTTCCCAAGATCTCAACCTCAAATAGCCAAGATTCTGGTAAGATTAGATGTTGATCAGAAATTAAAGATGTGAAAGATGCCCAAAATATCAAGACACAGACCCAAAAATCGGTTAAAATATTGTATTATTTTTTATCTTTGCTAGTTAAACTACTCACTGGAAAAGAATAYATCGTAGGGAGAAAAGGTATGGACATTATATGCTGTTATTATTTTATCGTCGAAATATTCAGACAACATTTGRCAAGATAGACAATAAAGGGTGTCCAATTTCGCAGCCTATAAATTGTATATTTTGGAAAATCCAATGGAAAAAAAAGCTGTTGATAGTCATTCCCTTTTCCAGTAACTGTAAATCCCAAATTCCTGGTCCATTGAATCTCTTTTTTTCATCTTAAAATCCAAGCAAAAAGTCCAAGTGCTTATTTTATTCCTTCAAGATGTTTTTTTCGTTCATGGAATGTTTGTTTAGATTGTGCAGTATTGATCAAGGATGATCCATCAATCAGTCGCAAGCATGCTGTAATCACTGTCCAACATGATATCTCTAACTTGGTATGTGCTATTTTGGGTATAACAACAACAACAACAACAAGTATCTTTATTACCAATAATAAYAACATATATATGTATAGATATATATATATATCAAATTATGCTTTACAACATTAATGTTTATAGCCAAGATTCAGGTAATAGCTGCTAAATATAGCAAGCTAATCAAGCTGAGCAGCCGATTAGCTTGATTTACCCAGTTTTACCCATAAAATAAAAAGAATTTGTTTGCAATAAACATCTAGCTACTCAACGTACATACGACACCAGAGTGTCTAGCAATTAGAGCAGTTTTCGCCTGACTGTGTAAAGGGTGCTGCATGAATGTAATTGCTAGACCAATCACGTTGCATGAGAATTTACTCTCCATCAAATCAAATACCCAACACACAGCACGAACAYGACACAGACACAGCCAAGGTCACAGCACTGCCAGTTCAGTYGCAACCAAAATTCTAAAAGACATCATGGTCGTGGTAAGGCATGCATACAGCATTGAGCCTRTCACAGTCATGAAAACTGCTCTAATCCAYGTCAGGCCATGTTSCAGTTGCTCTTTATAGCAAGCATGAAATCTTACAATTTGTCGTCACAACAAAATGTAATTTGGTTGACATCARTCAAAGGGCACATTGTGATGGAAAATAATTGTCATGGAAATGCCTTTTACCGATGTCGGCCAGCATAACRACTATGATTATTCATCTCAGTCACTTACATTACAAGCATGAATAAACCATAAACATGATCTTGACAAAATTATATTTGATGTCTTTCAGGGAGATCCCTCTAAGATACCAGAAGTAATGCTTACAGACAAATCAAAGTATGGAATATCTGTTAATGGTGTCAAGATTACTCAGCCAACTAGACTCAATAATGGTGATGAAATACTCTTTGGCAATCATCATAGCTGTTATAGGTAAGTGGTATATATATAATGCATATGTGATGCATTATAGTGTGAAAAGAGATATTATAATATTAGAGGCTAACCTTATCAAGAATATATCCTAAGATCAAATTGGATTTTAGAAGTTGCTTTTTGTAAGGGAGGAAAGCTGGAGAATCTGTGAAAAAAACTCAARGCACRGGAGAGAACCAACAAACAACTCTACTCACATACGACAATGAGCCTAACAGGACTCAAAACTGGGTCACATTTCATTTTGTTGGTAAGAGGCGCTCATTAATTACCTGTGCACATCACCCTGATTTAGTTATAGTACCTATTATCTCATAATTGTTTCTTGTTTTGGACCATGTTTTAGCACAACTATTAATTTGTAATGTAAAGGATGTGTAACCTAGGCTTGCAAGACAAATGCATTGAGATTATACAAATGTGTTGTAGTGGATAATTTTATCACCGTAAATAGGAAAGATAATAGACTGACGTTTCGGACGTTAGTCCTTCGTCGGAGTCAATGAGGAAGGACTAATGTCCGAAACGTCAGTCTATTATCTTTCGTATTTACGGTTATAAAAATTATCCACTACGACACATTTGTTTAACTAAAAAACACCGACAAAGCCCAAACTAGTTCCAAAACTAGTTGTTATCTGAGATTATACAGACTGGTTATGTAACATTTTCAGATTAACTTACACTCCCTTGGTAGTGGTCACTTCATGTCTTGATAACACTAAGAAGAAGCCCCTCAAGAAACAGATTCATTTATTAGGTAGGTAGCAGTAATCTTTGTGAGATGCACGCTGCATGGGATATAATTGATGCATAGTTCCAATGGGATTATTGATTGGTAAGTCTATCATTGTCTCAATATGAGGTCTCCTATCATCTCATCTAATGTTGTCTCATATTATGTCTCATTATATTCCACTTGTCTGTTATCCCTTCTCTCCTCTCCTTTCCTCTGAAATGTTGGAAAATGTTGTTTTGAATGCACTAACCACTGTATTGTTTGTATAGGCGGACATGTTTTAAATGATTGGAAAAGTGGATGTGTGACTCATTTGGTGATGGATGGGCTGTTATTCACAATAAAGGTAAAGTGTAGTTCTGTAGCTTAGTATCACAGAGCTGTTTTTTTTTTTTTTTTGGCTTGGCAGATCAAAGTCAGGGGATAGTTAATTTAAAGATTGAATTGCAATTCAGAGGGTTAGGTTTTACCAAGTCAGGCAACCAGGACAAAAAGCTCTCAAATCATTAAACTCTAGCAAACTTTAGAGTCCGAAAATCAGGCCTTAATTCAGATTGATTATATTTTATTTTCAATCGTCTGGGATAGAAAGTCAATATTTGTTGTGTCTCCCAAGGTTATCCATGCTCTTGCTGACTGTTGTTCCATAGTCACACCCAGCATCTTTAATGAAATCGTGMAGGCAATTGAAACATCAAGTGGGTTACCTATGCCAGAAGAGTAAGTATTTTGGAAATGAATTCCTTGCCTCAGGGGAGGGGGGAGGAGGGGAGGAGGGGACTCCAGGGTAAAAGTATCGGGTAGGATTGACAGAAATTTTCAAAAATRCCCCTAAAAGATACYAAAGGTAWTTTGAGAAGGYATTGTTTGGATGACATTTACTATCCCTTTACATTTTTTTAGGTTTTTGCCTCCTCTTAAAGAAGAATCAATCAAGTCTGATGGACCTCTRTTTCTTSCTAATAACAGAAGAAAAACCTTGTTTAGTGGAAAGACTTTTATATTTCTTAGCAACAAGCAAGTAAGTAAACCANACAGAAGAAAAACCTTGTTTAGTGGAAAGACTTTTATATTTCTTAGCAACAAGCAAGTAAGTAAACCAYTAAAAAAGGGTTACTATGCTAACTTTGTTTTGTGGGATTCGCCTTGAACTATAATCTCTTGCCCATTGACCTTGATCTTCTTGATATGCATCACAAAGAAGTTAATAAAAGGTATTAGAGGTGCCCAAATATCCCAAGCCAGGGCTTATGCATAAAGTGCTTGAAGGTGTGCCCTTGGTCCTAATATAATACAAGTATTTAAAGCTAAAGCTGCACACTTTGCTAGAACAAAAAGAAATCAAAACAGACATGGAGGTCTAAGGATTGAACCATTGAGCTCTAGCTCTAAAATAAAAAAAATAAAAAAATAAAAATATAGTTAGGATTTAGCAGGGCATTTCTACAGAGTAATTCTTCATCCACTGAGTTGCAATTGGAATTTAGAAGTTGATTTTTGTGGAGGAAGGAAAACCTGAGAACCCGTAAACCACTCAAAGCACAGGAGAGAATTTACTAGCAACTGTTATTTCATATACTACACCAAGACCAGAGGGACTCGAACCTGGGTGCACTACCCTTGAACTCCTCCACTGGATCCGCACCTGACACTAACCAACTGAGCTATGCCTGCTCCTAATTTTTAAATACACTTCACATTGTTATTGTTCAAAAGGGGCTGAAAATTACTGCATTCTTAATTTTCATAGTAATTCAATTTTAAATTTTGTGTTTGCTGATCATTTTAATTGCCAATCTCAAATCTATTGGATAGTCCAACAAATTTAGGTTACTAGCCACAGGCAGCCCAAACAATACTTTCGTGGTTTGTATGAAGGGATTTACAGTAAATGTATGCCTATAAATTCCTTCATACACACCACAAATGCGTTGCTTGGGCTGGCTGTGGTAACACCTCCACCACTTCTCAGCCTACCACCTTCAGGTTCATGAATTTTCAAGTTATTATTATTTTTAAGTACAAAAGAACACATGCAGCTATCGAGATGTGTGGTGGNTTGAAAAAGTAAGATATAGCTGTATTAAGGAGGTTTCTTTTTTTTTTTTTTTTTCTGTTTTGATAGTTATTATTATATTGTTAGGATAATACGTGCGCGCTGATTGGTCGAAAACTGTGCTTTATTAGTGAACAGAACACAGTTCTGACGCCTCAATACCGAAATAAAATTAGTAACTATATAATAAAACGAATAAAACAGCTTTTTCCGTGCTCCGTTCAGTAATAAAGCACTTAGGAAGCGCCGTAAGCACTCAAAAAGTGTGAGAAGAACTCGCCTACGTCTAGTTATTCTCCTTACACTTCGATTCTTGCGATTCTTGTAAAATGTTGCCATTCTGGGGGATTTTCTAAAGGGGTTTAATTCCACGTATGAAAAATGTAGTATAGTTGTATTCTTCGAATTGTAAATTCGCAATTGGTGGTTTTCACAGCCACCATGTTGGATGAATTTAAGATTCGTCATTAGTCTCTTTTGTTATAACATCCAACATGGCCGCCATATCTTTTGTTATTTCATTCTCTTGGGAATGATTGCAAACCAGCAATTGGAATTGCGTTAGGTTTTACGCAGGGAAGGAATCGGAAAACCCAGAGAAATACCCTCTAGTGAGAGTAATACTTTTTGACAAACTCTACTGACTAACACGTAATTCCCATAACCGGTTTTTAATAGTAAGGTGCAAAGCACCCAGGGTATATTATGTGCTGATGATGGATAGGGAGGCCTACCATCTGAAATGACTAAGCCACTCAAAAGTCATTCTTCAACATGTATATACATCTATTGCAATAAACATTGTCATCGCCAAAGGCGATAGGCGATAGGTCGTTCTGACATGGAAATGGTATCGTTGAATGCAAAGAACATTAAATCAGTCTCAAAACCAAAGGACACTATTGAGTACAATAAAGATTGATTGATTGATTGATTGATTGATTGATTGATTGANAAGAAAGGGAAAGCTACCCAATGGATATGAAGCAGTGGATTACACAAATAATGGATTTCTTGAAAAAGTAAGATATAGCTGTATTAAGGAGGTTTAATTTTTTGTTTTGTTTTTTTGTTTGTTTTGATAGTTCTTATTATATTGTTAGGATAGTACGTGCGCGCTGATTGGTCGAAACTGTGCTTTATTAGTGAACAGAACACAGTGTTGAAGCCATCTGCGCGCGCGAAGTTCTGTTAGATCCTGCAACCGTCTTTCTTTTTGCGTACATAAATTCAATACCGAAATAAAATTAGTTACTATATGATAAAACTAATAAAACAGCTTTTTCCGTGCTCCGTTCAGTAATAAAGCACTTAGGAAGTGCAGTAAGCACTCAAAAAGTGTGAGAAGAACTCGCCCATGGTTCGTGCTTCTCCTTACACTTCTTTCGTGCTTACGCTACATCCTGCGTACTTTATTACTGAACGGAGCACAGAAAAATCTGTTTTATTTGTTAATTAAAAATGTGATTTATGTTTCTTCAAGCAAACTTTTCTCAGGAAAAATAATTTCCGATAAAAATTTGCTTGAAGAAACATCACATCTTTAATGAAAAATACAAAACGCGCGTGCGTGCTGTGTGTAGTTATAAAGCACATGGGGATTGCCAGAACACGAGAGAGGTGTTAGGAGAAGCATGACGCGTAGCGGATGTTTCAAATCTCGGGGATTTTCAAGGGGTTTAATTCCACGTATGAAGAATGTGGTATAGTTAAATTCTTCGAATTGTAAATTGCGTTACGTTTTACGCATGGAAGGACCCGGAATACCCAGAAAAAAAAGCCTCGGAAAAGAAAGAAACTCTACTGACTAACGCGTGCAAAGCACCTAGGGTATATCGTGTGCTGAAATGGCTAAGAAACTCAAAAGTCTTATCATTCTTCAACATGTATATTCCTATTTCAATAAATATTGTCATCGCCAAATACGATAGGCGATAGGTCATTCTGACATGGAAATGGTATCGTTGAATRCAAAGAACATTRAATCAGTCTCAAAACCAAAGGACACTATTGAGCACAATAAAGATTGATTGATTGATTGATTGATTGATTGATTGATTGACACTCCAATAGCAGAAACAGCTATTCTTGGATCTTGGAATGACCTATCCTATCGCTTCTTGCCTATTGCCTATAGCCTTTGGCGATGTCTACGTTTATTGACATAAATGTATATTATAATAAAGGCACTTTGTACTTGGATRTCTTCAGATTCTAAGCAGTGCATCTTTTTATCATATTTTAGTCACGACAAAAGACCTATYCCTGAATCAGAGCTTGGTTTGGCAATTTTACAAATGACACTCACAAACTACTGTAATCCAGACATCGATGCAGGTAATGACAGATAGAACTGAATGCAGTAATRCGACATGGAAGGGACACACCCTCCGCGTATCTCCACAGGGATCCCAAGCATGGAAGCACGGCAGAATCCGTTTTGGTCGGCTGGTATTCGTTTTATCGCGTGTCAGCCATTTTGAATTTCGTTTAACTGCTGGCGTTTATCCGTAATCGGACCTTATCTATTTTCTATTTCTATTTTCATCCKATAATCCACTGACAAGTAGAAATGCTTGCGCTAACTTGCCATTGTCCCGGTTAGGGTTATGTTACGKTTTTTTTATCAAAGTGGCTCACATTTTATCACATGCACATGGACTGTTTGGAAATGAAAAAGTGGACTTGGCTGTCATAAGAAAACTCGGGTCTTTTCCACACTGATTTCGGTGATTTCCGTAGTAGTTCCATTAAAAACCGGGTACATATATATCTCGATAAGCATTTAACGACATCTTTTGAACCAGTCATATGCAACGTGCGACGTCACTGCTTGTTCAACGTAAAGAAATGGTCATACACGGTCATGGTACGACTAACACSTCCTTATCGTAAGTTTCATTGATTGTATTGCAGTGCCAGCGTTGACTCAGAACATTGTCTGTCAGTCACTAAATGTCGGGCTGGACGAAACGTCGCAAGTCTTTTCACCGCAACACAAAGCACAAGCTAATCAGAAAAGTGTAAGTACGCTTTGACACTAAATAAAAAATATTTCCTTCCGTTTGGATTAGTTGGTTGGGCACTGGACTATGGTGTGGGAGATCATGGAATCCATCCCCGACCGTACCAACACTCAGGGCCTTGAAATATCTGAGGAGAAACTGCTGCCTTTGTAATTATAGCTACAATTGGTTAGACTTTAAAAGTGGCTCGGATGACCACTTTAGGTACTGCATTTGCTCGATAAAATTCCTGCAAATATTTAACAATAGACAGGTGATGGTGGATGATCATGCACATAGGCGGCCCTGTCTAAATTTAGTATACATAGCCAAATATGTAATAATAGAGTGCAAACAATATAACCGTGAAACTTTAGTAACACTAAATAGCACAATTTCATGCAAATTCCATTGTTTTCTATTGTTTAATTAGCACTATYTTGTACTATTTAGTAATTAGTGTTTCACGGATTAATTGTTTGCACTCTATAGTTGCATTATACTTTGCGTTGACGAATTTTCCGACTAATAGTGCCGCATGCATATTTTAGTCCCTTGCACACTTTCTTTCGTTCAGTTAATTAGCACCAATTGTCTTACTATTCTCATGAGGAGATACAAATTTGAACAAGAAAKAAAATTCTTGAAGCATTTTGGTAGTGGTAGTAAAATAGTGCTTTCATGCAAACGGCCTATTCCAAAATGATGCTGCAGGAAAAACCTAAAGCATTCGAGCTTTCTGCAACAATTTTTTTTCTTTCTTTTTTTTTTTTCTAGCCGCATGCAAGACTTCGTGTCCGATCATTACGAAACTTAATAAACGCTGTAATTCTTCTCTCGAGCTGTTAATGCAAAGCAAAACCAAACAAACAAACTAAACGAGTAAAATCGTGTTGTCGGATCAAGAAAAGTGCAGCGTGTATTGGCAACTGTTACAAAACTATGAATGTGTGTTATAATCTAATTTTATTCAGGAGATGTATTGGTTCCATTAGTTAAACCATTATCTATCAAAACACTCACATATATATCATATTTAGTTTAAGAAGCCCCAGTACCCATCTGAGGGAGAAGATGCTGACAAGACGCCTGATATAGTGTTTCTTAGGACTACTGAAGCAAATCAGTCAAGGTAGGTTTAAACAAGGAGCATGCTAACTCCTTATCATTATATTGTACGCGCGATTTGCTCCGGGTTCTCCATTTTTTCTTCTTCCATAAAAGATTTCAGATCTTCGACCGACAGCGTTTTTTGAAATAGCATTAAGATAAAGTCTTCAAGTAAAGTTGTCATRACTTTTGATATCAAAATAAAGTATTCTATGCTATTTACAGCACTACAAGCAAAGTTGCCGAACCTGATCACATTTCTCCAGAACGTGGTACAAAAAGAACGAAGAAACATGTTTATGAGGGTGYCGTTTTAGATACCGAGGACAATACACCCAAGGCACAAAAATCTAGACCAGACGTTAAGATAAGTCCTATACCAGATACCTTAAATATAAGCGGTAAAGACACGAATGTCTTGGTTGTAGAGACTCCTATCAAAGATACTAAGGAGAGGTGTTCATTATTTCCAAGCACTGCAGAGAAAAAGAGTGTCRTCCCAGATAGCGAGGGCCTTGATTCTAGTAAAACAACTAGAGGACTACCTGAAACTCGGAATGAAAATTTGGATGGGAAAATAAAAGGAACGTCAATGGAAAGAGGGTCCTTAAACACTAGCAAATTAGATTTCATTCCAGATAGTATGGGAATGGATGTCAGTTCCTTGGCACCACAGAACGGTGTTAATAGTTCCCAACACGATAAGGAAGAATCTAAATGTAGACCACCCAAACGAACAAGAGTGTTAGATAGTACAGAGGAAACGGAAAGTCAAAAAGAAGATATCCCTACGAAACGAGCTAGGAATGAATCAGTTTTCAGGTCACCAGAGCAAGTACCCTCTACTGAAGGATATAGCAGTTATGATAACAAGAAAGGAGGTTTTGAAGACGATGATGATAATACTAAAGAACAGCTGTTCGGAAACATGGATGAGCTTGAAGAGAATGGAGCGCAATCGGATATTAAACCTGTGTTACCACGGCTTGAGGAGAGAGTTGGTGGATTCCTGTGTACGAAAATACTCGGAAGGGTAAGAAGTTATAGGAACTCCACATTTAATCAAATTAAATATAGCTCGGGAAATATGCGGCAATGAACTGCTGTGAACTTGACTTGTCATGTCCATCATATAATGTGCTATAATAGCCAAGGTGTATATAGAATAGGCCATTTGCACAAACAGGTCACGTGACACTACCCCTTTATAACCAAGGAGTTATGTCAAAAAGAACAACGCGACGTTTATGCTCAAATATAGAATATAGAACAATGACAGTGAAATCGAATGTTTCATAAAAATTATCAGTAAGGCAAGAGATTGCTGGATTTACTTAAGTGTCGCCTGTATTAAACTTTATTCTAATTGCAGCAAATAAAAACAGAAGTTGAAGACGACGGTCTACCAAGAAACCTAGTTGTCGTAGATGTGGTGTCTCTTCTTGTCCGCAAACCCAAGGCACAACAAGCTGCACCTCCAACACGAGTTACTGGGAAAAACTTTAAGAAGTTTAGAAAGGTTGGTGTTGAAAAGCAATCTGATTTGAATCTTTGAGCGGTGCTTATAAATAAAGTCTCTGTTACACTGTGCAATTTTCTCATGAACTTGTCTAGGGGTTTTCTCGCAATTTTGTTGTCGCGTGTAGCGTTGCACGAAGTAAAACTCAGTTGTACTTTTGGCAACGGATTGCAGAAGCCTGGCAACGCCATTGCACCGTGTATCATTCCTCGAGTGTCAAAACTCACCTCRGCAAAAGCAACGCTACATTTTCAAGTATTGCGAGACAAGTTGCTGAGAAAATTACACAACGTAACAGGACCTCAGTATTTATATCGGTTGTACAAAAATCATCAATCAATCAATTGCAGTTCGTTGAGTACTTATCATAAGTGAAAGAGATCGCAAAGAGCATGGGATAACCTTTCGATGCACTTGAGAGAACCAAGACGCGACGAGTAAATGGATGAAAACACATGACAATAGCGGCGAGAGACAGCGCTTATCACTCTCAATATAGACTCTTTGCATTGATGTCCTAGTGGAATTGTTCTGGGGGAMAAAAMATTAGGCCTGCTTTTCTTATGCAAAGAAAACAACATTGTTTTGTCGCCCAGAATAATTCTTCTTGTGRCCCAGTGCAAAAATGTGTYCCCGACAAATTGACAATCAGTCTATAGCCTAACATATAACTTTCAAGTGTTTTTTTCTGTTTTCTTTTGTAGCAATGGTATGCTGGATGTGAAAGACGATTTCCTAAGATCATCGGTGGTAGTGACTTAGTGGTACATCAGACATCTACCGGCATTGATCAAGAGGACTGGTTCATTGAAGCAAGAGAGGTAGTAAAATCTAATTCATTTTGAATAATGTTTTTGTTTAGAGAGGGTCACACTTGACAGTTGCGAACTTAGTACAGATAAACTGTGGCCCCTTTGTTTAACGTCTCTAATTAAGACGGTACCGCTATTTTACGTTGAAAGTTTCCTATTAACTTCTTCTAGCCTCAGAACAAGAAGAGGACGCGCGTTTYGAGTTTCAAAAGTTTGAAAAAACTTGTTCATTCTATTTAAACCCATTTTCCTTTATCCAAGGCTCCAGCTATAATTCACTACGCAGTATTCCAGTATTCACGAGATGCCAATCTTTTGAACATTATTCAACTGTATACATTTTAAGGCCGATCCTTTGATATGCCGGAGAGTAAATTACCCGGCTGTGATAYACGACTAGCAGTGTAATAACCTCTATTTATTATTCGTTGTTTCTTTTAGGCCAACAAAGAACAARACAGAAGAGACAAGATGGAGGAACAGCTATTTATGTTAGTATTGTTATACAGTGCGTATAGGGGAGGGGGTGGGTGACGATGGTGCTGACGTGTTTGGTTGTATGAAGGCAACATGGTAGCAGTCGTGATGACGGTGAAGATGATGATGACGATGATGGTGATGATGATGTTAACGATGGTATTGGTAATAGTCACCATGATGGATGATGATGATGATGGTGATGATGATGTTAATGATGGTATTGGTAATAGTCACCATGATGGATGATGATGATGAAGATGATGATGATGATGTTAATGATGGTATCAATGGTAATAGTCACCATGATAGATGATGATAGTGGTGGTGTGGTTTGGTGATAATGATAGTGATGATGATGTTAATGATGGTATTGGTAATAGTCACCATGATGGATGATGATGGTGGTGGTTGTGTGGTTTGGTGATAATAATGTTGATGAGGATGATGATCAAAATGATCATGAAGATGATGATGATTATGATGAKGTTGATATTAATGTTTACTTGCTGTCGGTAGGTCAGACGCAGGCTTGCCTCAAGGAAGAAAACGCCGAGGAAGATAAACGTCCTGTACCGTTGTCATGCCAGCAGTAGTTCCAGTCCCAAACAGTGTTATATAAACCAATCAGGACCAAGGGTCCGAGGTTTTTGTTGGATTGAGAAGAAAGCAATACTACAAAAAAGAAGAAAAAATAAATAAAGAAATAAACTAAGAAAAATTAAGCGGACGCCTTCGGGACTTTGCCTGGTGTTCGCTTAATGTAGGCTCGTTTTTGACAGTAAATGTGGACTGAAAATGTGCCAATGTTCGCTTGATCAAAGGTTGCATGCACTCATGATACAGTAGCCTGCGTAGCCAGGCGTTCCTTGTGGGTTTTTGGGAGGCTTTTGACTCCCCCCCCCCCCAATTAAAAACCTTCCCAAAACCCACAAGCTTTGGATTATCGGCTTTTCCCCCGAATTGTTGTGAACTTTCGCTGATTGGATTCTCGTTGTCCATAATGCATTTTGTGACTTGAAATCCAACATGTTCTTGCAACAAAACCGTGTAGCTTGTACAGGGGATTGCAAAAGCACCGCCTTGGTTACGGGTCTTTTTTTTACACACTAGAGGTTATGTAGCAGGGACATGGCCCAGAAACATGCAACAGCGACAAAATCAAGTCCTTTACACACGAGGGGACATGTAGTTTGGACCTGCGGTCGCCAAATGTCAATTGAGTTTGTTTGATGTGTTGTTCTCTCCTGTTCTAMGAGGGTTTTTTCCGGTTTTCCTCCGTAAAAATCAACATGTAAGCCGTTCGTTGCATAAAATAGTAATAATGTAGTCGTAGTGAGTGTGAGTGAAAGCAGGCCCACATCAGCGAGAGCTGCCAAAATAATTAGCCTGCTTTAACAAAAATTGTTTTTCTCAAAAAAACATGCTGCGGAGACATGGAGCAGAGCTTCTGCATATTGCATTACTTTTTTGTCACGCCTATTTTGACTACTAAATTGAGCGTTGCGTGACGACGCTAATTAGTGGCTTCGTAGGAGACTAATATTACTAGCGCTTTACATGTACAAAGAAAAGACTCACCTCTTAGTAAGAGGAGTTTTAATTCCTGTCTAGCCCAGGTATGTATTATTTTAATATCAAACAACCTAAGTTACCCATAATTAAAATTTGATTACAGCTTTTTCGGTGAGCATTTTTGAAAAACCAAGCTACGCTAATCAATCCATGGAAAAGTAACCCGTCCAAACCGTACGTGCTAACTATCCTAAGTAACTATGCCGAAGTCCATTGTTTTCTATCCTGAAGAACTATTCAGCACTAGTTAACGGTACTTTACGGTACTTCGTATATTTATTTTGTGTGTAAAGTGCTATCAAAACCTCAGCTTTCCCAGACGCTGAGAACTTCAACTTAGGTATAAAGCAAAACTTTGGGCGACAGTAGAGTGAAGGCATTTAACCCGTGAAAAAATTAAATGTATAATTAAAATGTCAGTCAACGCGTAATAGTCAAATRGACACCAAAGAAAACAATGGAATTAGGGTCTAGTAAAGTGTATTAGTCTAATATCTATTTCACGGGTTTAGTGACTTCACTCTATCTATATAAAGTACGTAAAGTGATCTTTTTTTTWAAAAAGTCGAAGTGATGGACGTAATGTTCACCGAAAGCTTCGAAGACTGAATAAGTGACTGTAGAAGTGATCGATAAAATTCAGATAAACCTAAAGGCAAGCTTTATGAATAACGTATTTGCATATAATGATCTAAACTTCTATGACCTTAGCGGTTAGGTAATAAGTACAATTTAAAGTTTTATGGGGAGAGGGCTGGTGCTTTTTTTGTTCCCGGTCAGGTCATCTACTATACTCAATTAGGACTGACTAGTACTTACCAGAGGGGTAGTATCCCCGTGGGAGCCGGGGGGTACTCCCATATATGGACTATACGGGGATGATCCGCTGATCAGGGTATGGTTTTTCGAGCTTCTTATCATAAACAGGGTTTTTTATTTTCACTCAMATTCCAAGTTCTCCCCGAGTTTCCTGTCATACAGGGATTCTGCTTTCGTATTGGCCAAAACTGGTTATTATGGTCGTAAAAAACGATACGCGAGATGACATGATGATTGAAACAGGAACTCAGTACAATTAATTATATCTTTTATCATAAACAGGGTCCACAAATTTGAGTTTTTTTGTCATAAACAGGGTACCCCTTTCAGAACCCCAGCGGAACACCCCTACCCAAATTCTGGCGGAGTACCCCCCCCGGGTATTATCTAACTAATATCWAAGAGTTATTTCTTTCTTATTACCCTTCTGGAAGCAAGCGCTATTCATTCCCTCAAACCTCCCTCAGACAATAACAAGCAATTATAATTACCATGGCAACCAAAGTTGTCTATCGCGGTGATGGCGRTGCTCCTGGCTCAGATGAAGACACTAAAGCCATGCAACACGCAATAGAAGAAGARATAGCCCTCAAGAGGTTACTGGGTATTCCTGGTGCTTCGTCTATGGTAGCAGGAATCATGATTGGTTCGGGGATCTTCGTGTCAGCGCGTTGGGTTCTAGTATACAGTGGGTCGGTTGGTTTGGCGTTCTTTGTATGGCTTTTATGTGCTGTGGTGTCCTTCATCGGAGGATTGTGTTGGGTAGAGCTGGGATTAACCTTTCCCAAGTGTGGTGGTAAGTTTTGAGTCGGAATAAATTTCGTACACTATTTACAATAAYAAAATGGCTTTGCACACGGCACACTGAACGAAATCGGTGACATCTGTTGATAATATCACGCAATGGGAATCGATAAGACAAAGATTTTCTCTGACATCTAGGATCGAATCTAGAGGAATAGCTTCAAATAAAGCTTTCAAGTAAGCCTAAACGAAACCATGGGTAAGTTTACGCTATTGAAATACTTTGGTTKGCATTTACTTTCCAGGGGAATACATACTTATTAAGGAGACGATTGGTTCAGTACCCGCCTTCTCTATCGTTTGGCTCAAGATCATCATTGTCTATCCTTCCTCGTCTGCCATTGGTCTGCTCACGTTTGCTTCGTACTTACTAGAACCATTCTTTCCCGGCTGTGCAAAACGAGAGGACCTGGTACCAGTAGTAAAGCTGATAGCAGCCTGGTCTATGTGTGAGTTGAAATTTAATTCTACTTGTGGGAGACTGTTATTTGGATTTTTTGACGATTATAATTAAGAAATGCTTTTTTCATTGTTTGTTTTTTAAACTGTTCATGATTCATAGTTTACTTACAGCGCGAAATCTCACAACTTGCTGCCGCGACAAAGGTYTTAACAGAAGGCGTTTCCCCCACATCTCATTAGCATGTGCCCTTGAAAACTTTTTGTTTCTCGACAGTGTCATGGAAACACTTTGAGCGACAAGTTTTACGATTTTGCGCGGGTGATCGGGAAAGGCTCTAAGCAACGTAAATCCAAATGCCAACACGAGCACTGATAGCAATATTCACTAGTAATAATATGCTAGGAAAATGGACACGCATGCGCAGTAAAATTAGCGATTGAAATAGMCTTCCAATTGTCTTGCACTCACATTTTTACACGTTAGAAATGCAAACGCATTATCAAGGAAATATATTTTTTACCATTTGTTCACTTTTAACAGGTACCATCTGTCTGCTCAACTGTTTAAGCGTAAAGTGGGCAGCTCGTGTTCAGATAGTCTTCACAGCTGGTAAATTCTTTGCTCTTGCGTTTCTGATAGCGACGGGGTTTTATAGTCTTGGTCAAGGTCAGTAGATATATACACTGGTGAATACTATATACACTAGCGTAGGGGGGGCGTGCCCACCAAAAGCCGGTTTGCTCTCGGCACCAAACTTTAATTTATTCATACGGGATTCCTGTGGATTTGGCGGGAAAATGGTACATTGCCACCTTATGATCAAGAATCAAGACCTCGCTACGCGCCTGCACTGAATTCCACCTTTCGTTTCCAGGCCACACATCAAGCTTCAAGGACTCGTTCAAAGACACCACGACTCAGATAGGAATGGTTGGACTTGCTTTTCAGAGTGGACTCTGGGCTTTCGAAGGATGGTATTTTTAGATATTCTTTTTCAGCTTATTATTGGGCGAAAGATATCATCTTTATGTTTAAAACACGTACGCAGTCCATACGAGTGTTATTGCTTACCTAGTATAGTTGCCTTCCATCATTCACGAATATTATGGAAAATAATTTTATTTGACAATTTCTAAAGCAAATATCCCATTCATTATTGGCGTCAGGGTGTGCATGCTTTCACAATCCATTTCTCGTGCTAGGTATCCAGCCAGAAAATAAACAAACATATTAAGTTCAGTAGCTGTTGCTATGTTATAGAAGCGATGGTCATAGTWAGCTTTGCGTATGTCCAATTTTGCAGGATGCACTCCATTGGCGGATCCACGATTTTTCAAAGGGGGGTTCCGTTTCTTAAACTGTGTATAATTCTCTTTTGTTTAGTCGATGTCTGACAAAAAAAATTGGCTCTAATCACCTAATTTACTATCTAGTAACGGAACTTAAAGGTAAATTAAACATTACTATAACAGCAAATATTTATCATTTCGTGTTCAACATAATCCTTGTGGATACTTTTAAGCAAAATTTATATAAGACATATTTCTATTACCTAAAAGATCAAACCTTCAAGGGGGGTTCCGTGGAACCCTTCGAACCCCCCCTGGATCCGCCACTGCACTTGGAGGCTGTTTAATCACGAACGAAAGAAGCTAGTCTCTCTAGGCTAAGCCTCGTGCAATTCTTACGCTTCTTTTCGTCTTTATAAACAACCTCCTTCGTGCATCAAGAACTGGACGTACGCTCGATAATCTTTGACCTTTAATATCTCTATTTTTTTACAATAACTTACAAATTTCTCGCGCGCTGATTGGTTATTTTTTATCATCAATAAGAGAACAGACAGATAAGCTGACGTCAACGAGCGCGCGCTCTTTCCGTTGGTGGTTTTATTGATCACTAAAACTGAGAAGTTTTTATTGTTTTTGTTATTGCAAAAAAAAAAACAACAAAAAACAAGCAAACAAACAAACAAACAAACAAAAATATACATCAGTTTTTTATGTGTCTGTCTATTTGTTAGACTGACGTTGCGGACGTTAGTAGTCAGCGAATAAAAAAATAGAACAGATTTAGATTAATTGTAAGTTATCTTTGAAACTTTTCAGGGATTCTTTAAATGACGTTACTGAGGAAGTAAAGAATCCAAAGAGGTAAAAACGTTTATGCATCACTCGTCTACAGTAGTAAAAACAAAAAGGAAACACTCCTTTATAACTCATTTGATTTGGGGTGGAGGAAGAAGCTSCATATCAGTATCCCTACCTTTGAGAGGGAGGTTGAGCACTAACAAGAGAATATAAAGTATTTAATATTCTCTTGGCACTACTTATTTGTATAACGGGGAATGGGCAACGCGTTTGTCTTTGGGTGGAGAGTTTTACAATAATGTGAAAACCCGCTGGGGACGGATTAGGGTTGTTTAAATTGTTTTAAGCAGATCATRTCATCACGTCTATTTCGACTTCTCTGTTTTGTGCAGCTTTAACTTTAGGTACTCATGATAGGGAGCACTGATAGTCTGAGGGGATATAAAGGTTGCACCTTCGAGAGCTCCTGCCTTGGGAGAATATGGACTACTTGGACGATACGRCGGCCATCTCTTGCCAGGCCGGACAAAACAAAACAATGATAACGGAAAGTATGTAGATTTTCGTGTGTTTGTCTTTCTTTTTTGGGTAAAGGTGATCGATCGATGTGTATTCTCTTATGATGAACTGTTAATATCAATCGTTGTCATTACTATAACAAAGCTTTACTTGCCCCCTGGCGAGACGCCCCATGCCGGATGCCTTGCGATCCAAGATGGCCGCCGTTTCGTCGAAGTAGTCCACTTACCAGCCCCTCACCTCGTCACGGAAGTAAAATAAATTACCTTGACCTTGACCTTCTTACCATCATTTGGACAGAAACATGCCATGGTCAGTTCTCGGTAGCGTTTTCCTGGTAACCTGTTGTTATTTTCTGGTTAATGTGGGATACTTGGCTGTTTTGACTCCACAAGAATTGAAGGAATCCCCAGCAACTGCAGTGGTGAGTTCGATACTTGTTACTACATTACAACAAGGTTATTGACTCTTGAAGCGCAATAAGATGACCCACACAGAATGAAGTTGACATCAGTGGGAGGGGGGTGACAGCAGAGGCAATCCCCCTTTTCAAGTCAGGGGATTCAAGCATTTTCTTTTCTTTTCATTTTACTTTTTTTTTTTTTTTTTGGTCAAAAATATGCCCTGTACGCCGGAAATAGCATTTCTGGAAACCATCGTCTCGACGAGAGATAGATAATCTCTCAGGAGAGAAACAGTGTCAAAACGAAATTCTTAGAGACAATTAATGAAGACAATGAGATCAATTCATAACAAAAAGATTCCACTAAACACCTGCGCGAATCTTGAACAGTTGAAATCAATACCTGGAAAAAATATACAACAATRCCAGATCCTGAAGAAGACCAAAGAAGTATAACATACTTTCTTTACAGTCTGTAGCTCAACGAGTTTACGGTCCAATGATGGCTCGTATTTTACCTCTCTTCGTCGCCGCTTCTGTTTTTGGTTCTGAGAACGGATCTCTCTTCTCGTATGGAAGGTATGATTTAACAGATCAAAAACAGGGAATGTTGGGATGTGGGGATGTTGGGAGAACACTCGAGAATCTGGAAACCACTCCGCTACGCGTCGTGGTTTCCTACGCTCCTCTCGTGTTCTCTCAACATCCCGCGTGTTTTGATCAGAGTATCAAACACAGAAAACTGTTTTTGATTTGTTTYATAAAATAACCAAACTCGCGAAAAGATCGAAAAAAAAGCAAATTTAAGTAAATTCTCCCTACATGCCGTCTTATTCAAACCGACCAATGAGCGCGCGCGATAGATTAAAATCTGACAGTTGCAATACTCGCGCGCGCTAAGATGACGATAGCGTGTTTTGATACTCTCATCAAACATGGTTTTCGTCCTATCATACGCKCGTAGTATCCCAATTATATTATAAACAATAATAAATAGGAAGAAGGAAGAAGGAAGACAAATTTTGTATTCTGAAAGTCAGGAAAAAAGTCTGTCAATTAATCACGCTATATCATCACGTGATGGCAGCCATGAAAGGAACAATGGAATCTGGTCTAATCTGATTTAAACTGATTTACATGAGAAAGAATTCAGTCTCCCAGTGGGAAAAGACTATTGTGCCTCCTGTCATAGCTGCCATCACGTGATGGTGCAAAGCCTTTATCGTAAGGCAATAGGTCTAAAAATTGACCTTGTAATGTCCTCTATGCAATCGATAGAAATTATTCTTGCGATGAAAAAAGGAATGACGTTATCGTGAAATTTTAATTGACATCATCATAAAATTTTATTGACGTCATCGTGAAATTTTATCGACGTCATCGTGAAATTTTATTGACGTCATTGTGAAATTTTCTGGACCTTTTATTGAAGCGAAGATGATTGAACAAAAGGCCTTGCACCCGAAAAAGAAGTCCAAAAATCTCAACCAAAGTYTATGTTATAAATAGCTTTCAGTACCGCGWTATAAACGATATATAAACGATCAAATTAGCCTGCGTAACGCCCATCCCYCCCCCCCCCCCCCCYCCAAATTTGGGCCGCTACACTGTCTACGATCAAATGTGCTCAATGWTTAGTGTGAAATSTGTGCGCCCGTCCGCCATCTTGGTGCACCTCCGTGGTACACCAAGATGGCGGCCAAGGATGAAAAATCACGCTCAATATTGTAAATGCCTTATTTTCTCAATAGAAATATGCACACATTTCACACTAATCATTGAGCACATTTGATCGTAGCCTGCGTGGCGGCACAAATTGGGGGGGAGTGGGAAGGGGTGGGCGCTACGCAGGCGCTAATGTGATCGTTTATACATAGGAGATTGAGGATTTCTTCAAATCGCACTTTCTCAGTTTTTTCCTTACTTTCGAAACTTTGATAAATTTTTCAGAATTTAAGTCACAAACGGCTAGATCTCGCTCGATATTCTTTTAATCTACATATTTACGTCCTGACCATATTCTTAATACATTAAATAATTRTATKTAATAATATACTTGATTTTTCTTGTTTTGACTACACATGCGCATGCGTGGCGCTCATTTGTATGTCATTTGCATATCAAATTTCTTCACTTTATCGCATTTTCCCCTTTTTATTTTCTCATTTAATAAAAAAACTCCTACTACGAACTCGATTTAAAAAATATGACAAAGTTAGATCCAATTTGGATTTTTATCCCAAATTTGTGCGTAAAGTCAAGTCTTGCATTGGTTTTCGAAGCATCYCACATGTGAAAGCAATGATCATAGACTCTTAACCTTCAGCGACAAAGGGCACATTTCGGTCTGCTGGTCATAGCAAGGGGTTAATCATATATGGTCTAGGGGCCGACTAACCTCTTCCTTAGGCTTCGGCCGAGCTTCCTGATCAGTCTGTAAATCCTCGGATAGCGGTGTCCGGGCCGAAATCCCCGAAATCACACGTAGCCGTAAATGCTTCGCGCTGCCATACGACGGTTCAGCATTCGATGTCTGGAAGTATGGTCCTTAATAATCAATAAGTAAGGATAAAATGACAAAAGAAAAACTTCCTAGCAGATGACTTAATTTCTTAACAAACTTCTGATTTCATGTTGGAATACGAAAAGCCATGACTGTCTTTAATAGCTATTGTTTCAGAACTAACCTGGACACTCACAAAAGCGCGCGCCTTACATCCATGCACCACCTAAATGGGGAAAAAACCATCAAAGACAATCTATCCAAGCAGTATTCAATGGCATGGAATTTCATAAATTAGACATTTAATTACCAAATTGGCTTGAATGACCACGACACAGTGGATCCAAGTCTAGGTTGRGCTTGATAAATACAGTAAATGTATAAACAAATCAAGTTCAACCTCGRCTTAGAACCATTGGGTCTATTGGTACTCGCTGCCGGCTCTCTATTACGGGAAGTATTATAATTCTTTGGGTGCATGTGACGTCATAGCCGCCATCTTGGTTGACGATAACAAAGCATTCCTCATTAGATTCACTGTTTAGTTCAACCAACATGGCGTCGGTTTCATCTCGAGGGATTTTGGGTCATGTGGTAACACAGTTTATATTCATCAMTTGCAGGGTAATGTTTTCTGCAGCYCGAGAGGGTCATCTACCAAGYTTCATGGCCATGATTCACAGAACACAAAGAACGCCTATTTCAGCAATGCTGTTCAGGGTACGTTAWAATTTTAATTYRTATGAAGAAAATTAAARATTGCATTCGCCAAGTCCTCCATAACTAAACACCGAGCAAGTTTTTTATTTGGTTCATAAAATACAAAGCAATTAAAATAGCAGTTGGATATGAAAGACGACATGGAAATCACTCGTGTTTGTTGTGTTAGATGGCAASTAACATAGAGGTGCTTTCATTGTTATTTATATCGCAAGGTATGGTATTTACAASCGAGTTTRTGGAAGAAAGCTAAGMCAATTCAAGTATATTCATAATTTCGGCTTATATCTGATGCAGGTGTTTTATTTCAGACCATATTCGCCTGTATGTTGCTGATTCCTGACAAGAGTACAATACAGAGTTTGATTAGTTTGTACAGTACCGCCGAATGGCTGACTTACACGGTGACTGTASTTGGTCTGCTCTGGACGAGGTACAAAAGACCTGAGCTTCCAAGACCTTTTAAAGTAAGAAGTTCGTGCATGGCTTCAATCTAGAAGATATAACTAGCTAAAAACTATTGTGAGCTGCGTCGGTGTTTCTAATGAAACAGTAATGATAAAAAGGTAAATTATACACCGTGAAAAGATGAAAAAACTTACTGACGTTTAGGACGCTAGCCCTTCGGTTTTTTTTCATCTTTTCACGGCGTATAATTTACCTTTTTATCATTACTGGCTTCAATCTAGTTCAWAGTTCAGACTCAGATAATAGCGAACTAGTCACCTTTGCAGCAGTTTTCTCAGTGGAATTAAAATCTTGTCCCACAAACRACTGCACRGCATTTGTTTAAAAGAGTACTAACAAGAATAACGAGGCATTTATTTTCTCAGGACATGAAACAGTTTGAAGCAACATTAGGATTGATTTTACGCGATCAGAATTTTAAAGTCTGTGGAGACATTCTAGATAATTTGTTGAGCTTGTGGGACATAGCAACGGTAACTAAAGGGAGTTGGAACTATGAATGTCTAGCTCATTCCGGACCAATCTCGTACCCAGAGCCTGCGTTTTTTCTGGCCTGCGGTGAAGAACGAGGGCTCTGGCATAATCCATTTTTTGAGACCAGGATTTCTTGGACTTCCGGTATAACAGCGCACGCGTTCAAAGACTTGCCAAAAATCAAAAAATATTTTTTTGAAGAAACGCAGGCTCTGGGTACGAGATTGATTYCGGACCGAAAACTTTTTCTTATATTTTTGAGACGAAATTTTTTGTGGCATTGTCGTTTCAAAAATAAGGTTTCTGATTGGCTAAGTGAGTACAATGTATAACAATGCTAATTATTAATGAACCAAACTTTGCCGCAGTCTTGTSAACAATGCATCGCTGTTACTACCAAATTCATCATATTTTCTCCATTTCAGTTCTGTTTATTTTAACTTTGGTGATTTATATATTCCTCGTTACAGCTTCCAATCTTCATTCCTGTGTTGTTCTTACTCATTTCACTMTACCTAACCATCTCACCGTTCATCAAGAAGCCACTGGAATCTTTCATTTCGCTGTTTCTTGTCCTGACTGGGATTCCTGTGTATTTATTCTTTATACACTTTAAATGTACACCTAAAGTTGTCKCCGCTTTCTTGGGTAAGTGTATAAAATTAAGATTCTAGTTGGGATGGAACTTAATCATGSRGCWGCCATCWTTATTCCCATTTGAATGCAAAACGATTTCTCCTCACAACTGTCGTGCGCAACATGCTTATGACACGAACCAGCTGAGCGSTAAATTCTGTTGAATCACAGCGCGTTTAGCGCTTTTGCCGCCGGCCCTCATTCCTAGGCTACTGTAATCCAACTTTTGCTTAATTTTCTGTTTTCTTTTGACTAAAACRTAATATACGTGCCTACAAGAAGCCGAAAATTGAAAGGAAAAAAGTCCACTTTAACGTCCTTTAGTTTTAATCATTTTTTTAATTTTCAGACTGGATTGCTGTCAAGACCCAACAAGTTCTTAATGTCAGATATCCCACAACTGTAGTCGAAATTGGATCTTAGGTTTTTTATGTAGTTTTTATGTACCTTAGATTGTAAACACATAATAAAGATAGAGATATAATACACTTTCATAAATATGTACAGACAATGGGTAGACGCGTCTGCAAATTTCTGCAAATGACGAAACTTATGTTATACCCATGGACTGTTGATGTCGTAAAACAACTACTTTCGTAACGTTTTTAGTTTTTGAGTTATGAATTATTTTATTCAAAGCTTGGCCGCCATTCTTCTTTAGAAAGCTTGCCAAGGTGGCAATATTCAATCTCTCGGAAACGATCCCAATGGACACCCCATTTTTCTTTTCATTTTTACAATACAATACAATACATCTTTATTCACTTTTCCTTTTATGTTASATTACATTAAATTATATATTTAGATCATTGAAAAGAAAATACTTATTTTTGGAATCAACTTTAAATTCTGTATAAAATATCTTTCTAAAAAAGGTTTGTAATTATTATCACGTGCTTAGTACAGCCACCTTACCGCCATTTGGATTGCTAGGCGGCCACCCCAGACAAAAGTCGCGACGTGCACTATGCAATAGACTGCCTTCAATCAAACAAGTTGACGTCATTTACACGCGTTTGGATCCGCCCGGATAGGCCCGGTGAGTGTGGCTCATAATACTTGTAAACAATCGACACGTTTTGGCACCTTTTGAATCACACACGCTAATTGTAAATGACGTCAATTTCAAAGTTCCATATGGAACCCAGTAACTAAATAATAGTAATATTATAGAATATATAATAAATATTTTTTTAAAACTCATTAATAATTCATGAAGGAAACACAATAKAAATCATGACCATGAAGGAGGTTTTATATCTGATATAGATTCGTCCTGAATTTGCATAAACTTTAACTTGGATTTTCTCTATCAAACTTGGTTCATTTCGTAAAGAATTCGGTACAGTATGAGAACATACATCTGGAGTTTTTTAAGCCGTTTAATAAACTCGCAGATCGTGTTTTATCGGGTCTAAAACCACTCGGCTACGCCTCGTGTTTTATCCCCGATAAAACACTCCTGCTCGTTTATTAAACAGTACATAAGGAATCGGTTTTATGTAAATGTATGCTTGATTGACATCGCTGGGTAATTTTGGCATTAGTGAGTCATCACTCGAGCTTAATAACTTCATACAAATTAAGCTGTTTTGGAATTACCTAGAAAAAAAATATAAATAATACCAGATAGCTGCCATGGATTTCAAGCTTCATTTTGGAAGTGAAAATCTTACCAAAGAAAGGGTGAATTACCTAGTTCGAAATTCCAAAGACTATGCCTTGATGAATGGCGCTTTACTGCAGTCAAAAAAGACAACGGGTAAATCCGAATTCGCACCTTTTATGCTGTTCCCTACTCCTTTTCCGAAGAAGCTCTTCGATGAAGTGAAGCAAGTACAGAAAGACTTAAATCTTTTGGTATATAATGTCAGCAAAGACCACGAATTCTTGAAAGAATCTCTACAAGGGTCAGTAGCTGATGTTTTCAAATTTTCAAAACAACCTTCATTTTAAATGCACATGTCTGAAGGGTTAGCTTCTAGTTCAGGTAATATTTTTAGTACTAATTAGTAACTTTTATTTCGGTAAGTGTTCTTTCTTTTTTGGGGTAAAATTCATAAGGGACAGAAAAGATGACAGAAAAAGAAACTTAGGGTTGGCATCATCAGGGTTCGTGCTATATTTTCGTTGCAAAATTCAAGGACTTTTTAAGCACTTTTCAAGCACAAAAGTTCAATTTTCAAGGACAAAGTTTTTGGTATTAGAAAATGGTTTAAACATTGATTCAATGTTACAGTGCAGCTAATTCAGCCAGGGCCACAAGCTCAGATAAATAGATCTTTAATATACGCATTCTTACCAGAAGTACCCAGATATTCAGCTAGGCTATTCATACGAAATCATACGAAAACTCTTCAATCAATTTTAATCGTTATTTATTTCAAAAGGAAAGTTAGAAATAGCATTAAGTTTGCATTAAATTCAAGGAGTATTCCAGGAGTATGGCGTTTTCCTTATTTTCAAGAGCTTTTCAAGCGCCCTTAAGGAGGCTCAGGGTAGTTTTAGTCTGGCACACCTAGCCGCATTGAAACGGCTACAACTTCGTCTTGAATAACTC